CTCTGGCACAGGATCGGGAACGTTGGAAGCACTGTCTGACGCGTCTGCCTCCGCGACCCGAAAAGAGAAGAGGCGATGGAAGATGATGATGATGATGATGATGATGAAGATGAAGATGAAGATTTCACTAATATATGCAGTTACTGATGCCAGATTTATATAGCTGTAAAATCCACACGGTTGTTTTTTGTCGCCTAAGGGGACCAGTTAAGCAATGAACGGTTGTTTAAACGCCAACTATGCATCAGACGCAAAACCGCATCTCTGAGTTTGACTGAACAAAAGTACTTTCATCATCGTGTACGCGTAGTCGATGGGGCACACCGTTGTACCATTCAAAAAAATGTCTTCTGCTACCGCGTTGATTAGCCATGGTCAAACTCTTGGTACAGAGTAGCTTAAATTCGTTTTTCTTATGATTGGTTTGCCCGTTTTTCACTCTTTCTTCTAATAGCAACGGAGTCACAGTACGCGGTAAAGTAAGCACGTTACTTTAATGTGAGCAGGTGCCTATTTGTGACTCAGACGTTGCCGTTGGCTTCCACGGAGGAGAGTTAAGTTACTAACCAGCTGAACTGAAGCAACGCTTCCAAACGCAACCATTGAAGATTATGGCTACTAGTCAGGATTTTCAAATAATCCACAAGGGCCTTAGTGGCAGACCGATTATGAGTTCACGGAAAAACTTTGCGACTACCGCGCCTCCCCGCAGGCTGTTTGTCGATCAATCCCTCATTTTGATCTTTGCCGTTCCCCGGCGATAGCCGACTGAATGGCTTTTAAAGAGCAGGGCTTGTTCGAGCACCAATGGAGTTTATTATGAACCATCGGCAAATATATGGACAAAATACACATTCAGTATTTTTGGGAAACAACCACGAATGGTAGGATTCCAATTCCACCGGAAAGTATTGCATTCCAGATAGTGATACACTATGTTATTTGATTTGATTAAGATGAATATGTAGATGATCAAGACCTGCACACCATAGCAAAGTGACAATCATTTATTTTCAATGCATATAAGATGTAAAAGCAATTATTTAAATTAATATCAATCATATTTTCTATCAATATCGTCAATGTTGCATCTCATTTGTTGAGACCGTTAATTCCACAGGGCAAAACTTGGCCCACCGTAATAGACGTTCGGCGAAGGCTTCTGCAACATGCTGTTCACTTGTAGACCCTGTGGCACCTGAATGTAGCCGACTCGCTTGTCGAAAAATTCGTAGATGACCACGTTGGCTCCGCACAGCACAGGGCCTTGCACCGCGTAGCCAATGATTCCGATCAATCGCCATTTTTCACTAATTCGAACGTTGTAGATGCTGATGTCTGACACATAATAATGGGTCCGGAAGTAGTCACTGTAAATGTCGTAAACCGGCTTCAAGTACGGACAGTTTTCGTCCTGCGGTGCAGTCG